TAATTTCATCAGTATTTAATTGTTTAAATAAAAATTTTCCCATTGATAATATGGTTAAAATATTGAGAAAAGAATCTTTCATGGTACTGCGCAGTCTTGTTTTAATTAATTTAATTTTACTCATGACTCTTTCGGCAGTACACGAGGTTGTGGGAATGGTTAATAAATATTTATATAAAATTCTTAAATTAGGGAAAGCAGAAAAATTTAAAAGTAAACGATAAGGTAAAATAAATGAATAGTTTTTCCAATCTGAATCGTAAGTCCCTGAATTATCATCATCATCAGAAGAAGCTATGTATTAGTAAAAATATTTTAATTAAATATTACAATTCTCAGAATCTGACAAATCTTTAGATTCTTGAACCTCTAGGTCATGAGTAATAATTACATTCCCCATTTTGGCCATCTTATAAATATTTCTAAACTTCAACATTTCTTTGAAAGTTTGACTTGAATTTAAATTGTAAATTCACAGATATCCTCGATATCTTCTTTAATAATTGATTTTTCTGCCATTCCCTTTGGCGTAAAAAATGATGTTTGATGTAAAAATTTCATTGAATCATCATTAAATCTTTCGTTAAACTGCATAATAATTAAATCGAGTGCAGCATAAAACACACCTATTTTAAAGCTAAAAAAAAATTTCTATATTAAATGATGAAAGTATATATATACCTCTCCTTTTTGGATTGTAATGTTTGAAGTCTAGAACTTTCAAAATTAAAAGGTAGATTTCGCTCCTTCATAAAATCTTGCGCCTTTGAAAAAACATCCAAAAATTCAGTGTTATTATCTATTAGATTAAAAAATAATTAAGACAATAATTTATATTATACTTCTCAAATTAATCAAGCAATCTTTTGCCAATTGAATTTGATTTATTGCATACCCTATATCCTTCAAAATGGTTTGCAATTTTGTACAAGCCAAACTTGTTATCAACAATATTTTATCCAAAACACAAAGTGATAAGATAAAATCAAATTTTTCTATTCTAAAGACTATAGCACTAGCCATAGTGGAAGTGGCAGGATCTTCAGAATCCTTTAAATTTGTTAAAGCTGCCCTCAAGGCATCATAAAGTTGAAAAAAATATACAATAGCTTTATATGACGATAGCCAACTTCTAAATAAAAAAAACATTTAAAATTTAAATAAATAAGGAACTATTAGCGAGTGGTATTCTTGACGCGTAAAAATCGTTGCGATTTTTTCAGATCATTACACTGAAATTTTTTGAGTACCTCATATCTTTTTACACCATTAAAATATACATAAATCTCATCTAGTATTCCTAGAACATTTCGAAGTTCTTTAATTGATTGGCATAATTGAACAACGATTAAATTTAATCGATGACAATAACACCAAATAAAAGCTGCCTTTGGCGCCTCTGCTCTAATCAAAGCTTGCACGCCATTGATTCTTCCACTCATGTTTGAGGCGCCATCATAACTTTGCCCAACTATATATTCAAGGGGTAAATTCATCGAGCCAAGTTTGGATTGGTATTTCCCGTACAATATATGTCAATCAGTCTTTCAACAGGCTTCGGCGTCTCACTATTTTCAACATATCTTACTATCAAAGCTATTACTTCTGATTTCAAAACATCGTATGTGCCATAAACTATGATTGAAAAGCACCTGGTAAATGTAATCTCATTTTGAATTTTTTTTATAACTTTATTTTTCATGGTTTCATTGAGAATGTTTATGTTTATGATAATAGGTTTGAATATAATTTCGTTTTAATCCCTTATTTTTTTTATCCTGTTTTCTTTCTTCATTTTGCTGTATATACATTTTTAGTATAAGTTCAGAATCTGCAATAAGCTTAATAAGGGCCATCATATTGTTTTCTTGTTGCCTGTTCCCCCAGAAGGCTTGGTTACGAGATATTAAATAAAATTTACTAAGCATCGACCAAAATTTCCGTCAATATATTAAATTAAGTATTAAGTGGTGGGGGGGGGGGGTCTTATTATTACATTTATAAACCAGAAATCACATGATCATGATGGATGTAAAAAAAAATTTTTTTTTTAAATTTTAGTACCCCCACTCAAATTTAGTGAAGCAGTTGCTTCGGACCCCCCTCCCCCGTTGTAGGGGCCCCTGAACTCAACCCAAGTTAAAAAGAATTAAATAATAGCAGTGTCAAAATTTTACTAGACATTAAGGTTTAGAATAATTTTCTAATATCAAAAACTTTTTGCCGGGCTCAAAAGTATGTAATATTTCATTTCTAAATTTTTACGCTTGAGTTAAAGAGTAATGAAATTAGAAATTACTTATTGAACCTAAAAGTTTTAAAACATCTTTCCAATATCAAAATTATCTAAATAAACTTAAAACAAAGATCTAAAATAAAATTTTTCCTCGTGGAATAAATAATGGCATTGACACCATATTAATGCTCCAAAGGTTTAAGAAAATATAATAGAAACTTTTTATTGGGTTCTAAACATAAATAAATTTTTTTATCATTTTACATTTCACACATAAGTTTAGAAAAATGGGACTATAAATTTATTTATAAACATAAAAGTTTTGAACATCTTTCCAATATTAAGAACTATTAACTAGGATAAAAACAAAGTTTTATAAAATTTTCATTATTATTTCCTCGTGCACTAAATTATAATAATAGTGCTAATTTCTTACTAAACCCAGAGGTTTTAGAACATTTTTTAGTATCAAAATTTTAACTAGGCTTAAAACAAAATTTTAAATTTTTTATATAATTTTGTTCCTCGTAGTAAAATATAGTGGAGTTCCAATTTATTATACCCAAAAGTTTTAGAACATCTCTCTAGTATAAAGAACTTCTAACTACGCTTAAAATAAATTTGTAAAAAATTTTAATATTTATTTATTCCTCGTAGAGTAAAATATAATGGCAGTGTTAATTCATTACTAGACCCAAAGGTTTTTGAACATCTTTCTAATACATAAATATTTAAAGGTTTAAAACAACGTTTTAAAAAAAAATCATAATTTTTTACCTTGTGGTAAAATATAGTGGAAGTGCCAATTTATTACTAGACCCAAAAGTTTTAGAACATCTCTTTAGTATAAAAAACTTTAAACTACGCTTAAAATAAATTTTTAAAAACTTTAACATAGTTTTTATAACTTGGAGTAAAATATAATGGCAGTGCCAATTTATTACTAGACTCAGAGGTATTAGAACATCTTTTTATTATCAAAAACGGTTAACTTAACTTAAAACAACGTTTTAAAAAATTTCCTTCTTTCCTCGAGGAATACAATAAAATGGTGCCAATTTATTATTAGACGTAGATATTTTAGAACACGTTTTTACTATAAAGATAAAAAACTTTTAACAAGGCTTAAAACAACATTTAAAAAAAATCATAAATTTTTTTCCTCGTGGAGTAAAATATAATGATAGTGCCAATTTATTACTAGACCCTAAAGTTTTAGGATATCTTTCCAGTATCAAAAACTTTTAACTAGGCTTAAACAAAATTTAAAAAATTTTTCTTAATTATTTTTCCTCGTAGGGTAAAATATAATGGCCATGCCAATTTATTACTAACCCAAAAGTTTTAGGGCATCTTTTTAATATCAAAAACCTCAAACTAGGCTTAATTTTTTTTAAAAAATTTTGACATTTATTGATTCCTTGTGGAGTATAATATAAAGGCAGTGCCCATTTATTACTAGTCCCAAAGGTTTTAGAACATCATTCTAGTATAATAAACCTTTATAACTAGGTTTAAGACAAAGTTTTAAAACATTTTACTTATTATAAGGGCAGTGCCAATTTATTACTATAACCAAAGATTTTAGAACATCTTTCTAAAATTAAAAACTTTAAATTCGGATTAAAAAAAATAGTTTAATTTTCTACATCAAGCTAATCCAGCAAGTCAACCCTATAAGCCAATCCAGCAGGCAGACCCAGCAGGCCTACCCAGCAAACCAATCCAGCAGGATGGCCTAGCAAGCGAACTCAGCAGACCCTACAAGCCAACCCAGCAGGTCGACCCAGCAAACGAACCCAGCATGCCGACCCAGCAGACCTAGCAGGCCGACCCAGCAAGCCGACCCAGCAAGCCAACCTAGTAAGCTGACCCACCAAGTCGACCAGATGGGTTGGCTCATGAAACCCATTGGGTCGGGTCGGGTCTGATCCATGGCCAAATCGGTTGGCTTGGGTTTAGGGTCGTTTTTTTAGGCTCAAACCTTGCTGGGTTTTCGGCCAAGCCGACCCGACCCGACAATTTAACAACACTAGCTCCCAAGTTATAAAATCTCAAAGCCCCGTATTAGAGTTTCCCACTAAGCTTACTGCCAGTCCACCCCAGAGCTCGAGCCCCTGCCCCCCCCCCCTATTATGCTTCTGGAATATTGTAATAAATGAATTATGATTATATAATGCTTCTGATATTTAATGCATTATTATAATTGCCGAGAAAGAAAAATAATCATAAATTCTTAACTGTTTAACTTTTTTTGTAGATCATATTATTCAGATTATGATTTTAAATTGTTATAAAAAGTAAAGTTTTAACATTTTACATAATTATTGTTATATTTCATATTTTAGAAATAAAAGATTTAACATTACGCATTAATTGATACAATTATTGACATTTTATCAATTATATATTGAATATAATCTCTATTCTTAAAAATATAACTTCAATAAAATTTAATATAATGCCTATAATTATTTTATATTTTATTCATAATAATTCTCCTTTAGTAGTGGAACAATAATGGAACATATAATCTATATATTCCACATAAAATATATAATTTAATATTTAATATTAGCTATTAGTTTTCAATTAATTTAAAATTATGGAATTTTTTATGTTATATCAAGACAATATGCCACATAAGGAAGAAATTACATTATTTACAATATTTTATCAAAATAAATTGGCATTTTTGGAATTTAAATATTTAATACAAATAAGACAAATTTTATATGAATGACAAATTGGCCGCTTATTTATCAAGTTTAATGATAAGAAGAAGTATAGATTATTTTCAAATTATATAATAAATATAAATTGATCATACATAATAAACAGGTCTTATAGGTTCATGATCAATATGAAATAATTTAAAAATATGCTTAATAGTGAACCAATATTAATAAAGGATTGTTATATTAAATTGGAGAGGCTAGAAACGTTTTATTTCTCCAATCCTTCTCCATCTATTCTTCAACATTCTTTTATTGACCAAACTGTCAATGACGCCTTAATAAAGAAGTTTCTAGACTCTCAAAAAGATTTTATTGGAGAAAGTCAACAATTTAAAGCTTTCATTAACAATAAACAAATAGATAAAGATGAATCACATAAAAATCAAACAAATTTAAAGAATAAAGAAAAATTACAAAAACTTCATATATGTCACATATGTTTTAAAAGTTATAACCTAAATTGTGATCTGAGAGATCATGTTTTTTTTGCACATACTGCACATCCAACCCTCCAAGAAACTTTAAAAGTTAATATTGTTGGTACAGAAGCACCAATTAAAAGCCAAGATGATTTTATTGAAGATTATCAGACACTTGTTAGAAAAAGTGTCAGGAAACGCCATAAAAATAGAAAATATGCTGATTATGATATAGAAGATTTTGATATATCACATAATAATAATATATTATCCAATATAATTATTAAAAAAGAACCTATATTTTATTCACACAATGATAACCCATGTATTGAGACACACTTTGACCAATTGTTTGATTTGAAGTCCATCAATGTAAATCAAGAAAATCATAATACATTTTCTCAAAATATATCATCACAAATAAACAATGATATGAATGATAATATTACACTCATTATTCCAAAAATAGAAGCAGAAAATGATGTAGAAAATCAAAACACAAGCAATAATAACAAAGTTTGCAATATATGTGGCAAGGTATTTGCTAAGAGATTATTGTTACGCAGACATTTTGATAGTGTACATCTAAGACTAAGGCCTCATTTATGCTTTGAATGTGGGGAAAAGTTTGCCTCTAAGGACACCCTAGCACAGCACATACGTACAATTCATGAGAAATCAAGGCCATTCCTATGTACCTTATGCCCAGGGATTGGTAAAGCATTTACTCGCAAACAATGCCTAACAACTCACATTAGAGTAGCCCACAGAGACCTTATTTTGAACCAAAACAATCCAGATATAGAAGTGATAATAATTGACAAATTTTCTGAGGATCCCTTGATATCTCAAGATTTCCTTACTAATAATAATGATGAAGGAAAGATGGATGACATAGATTTTGTTACTGGTATTATAAATGAGCCATTTAAAATGAATGAAGATATAAACAAGAATCAAATCAAACAAGAACACTTGTCTATGTCCATTGGTAAAAAGAAGGGAGCCAAAATTCGACTCAAATATTATAGGTTTTTGAAAAAAATAATAAAAAAATTGATCATAATTTATTATGGCTATAATTTTATTTGAGCTGTAAAATAATAAAAATGGTCAATATTTATATTATCAATAAATTATATTTTGGGCTGCATTTATAAATTTTTATGCAATTAAAATGGGCAGTGTTTTAGTTATAAAAAAAATCCATGTTTTTGTCAGTATTTCTAGAATGTTAAGCAGTAACAAAGTAAATAAAGTTGGGTTGTAAAGTAAAAGTGTCCAGTATATTTTGAAAGTTGTTTAGAATTTTAAAAATATCTCTTATTTTACGTGATATGTAATATTAAGCACACTAGCCCTAAAATGTCATATATATAACAGAGCAACGCTTGGTTCTCTCATAAGAGCCCATCTAACTGGGATAAAAGAATGGGAAATAAATAAATAAGAGGACCATCCATGTTTTTTGGGCAGGCCGCAGTTACCTGTGCGCGCAAGAGGCAAAGCCCCTTACTTAAACACCCATGGGAAAATAAAAGAGAGGTAAAAAAGCCCATGCCCGATTAAAATAAAATTTGATTATGGAAAGTTAATATTGGCTATATTCATTTTATTTGAAATAATATAACTCGGCTTAAATAAATATAATAACATAATGTTAGGATAATATATTAAAAATAAGGTTTAAAAACTTATGTTGAGCAACAATAAATCGAATAACCATCCAATGAGTGTACAGTATTAGGTTTAGGAATATAAAGGTTACGTAGTAAATTTTGGAATGGGCTTGAAAATGGTAAAAGAGGAAAAGGAAATTATTGAAACCTCTCAAAGGGATGAAATGATTACATAAGAAAACTAATGATCTATAAGGTAGTTGGTTTTCATTTTAAAAGATTATTAATTGAACTTTTATTATTATTCAAATGTGTAAATTGAGTTAGACTTATATTCAAATTAAGAATGTCGAATACAGTATTATTTAGCCAGTACATTTTATAATTACAATACCTTTTGTTTTTATAAATTGATAGCCAGTCAAGGGCTTCATAGGCCAAATTATTTCCGGCGTTTCTTAGAATATGTGCAAATAACTGAATTCTTCTTTTCTTCAGTTGTACTGCGACTGATAAATTATCAATCTTAGGCTTAGAGGGTACTCACTTTATATTATATAGAATTTTTATTAACTATTAAATATACAGCAATTTTATATGAAGATTAATATAACAAAATATCAAAAAATAAATCAGTAAATTTAACACAATAAAATATAAAATAGAGGTGGATTATTTATTGAAATTTTTAGCACATTAATTATCTTATAAACATAGTAACTTAATATAAAAACTCATTTTCTTCAATTATTATATCTTCCTTATCTTCAAAAAAACATGTTTTCATAATAGGTAATGCTCATTTTAAAAATAAAAACAGTTTTTAAATGAAAAATGTTAATTCATATCAAAAATTTAATATTTAAATGATATTCTTTATTATTTAAAATATACTGGGACTGCTAAGAAATCTGAATTCACCCCTTTCAAATCAATTGAACTTAATTCACAGTCTCAATGTTTTTAAATTCTAAAATTATGTTTTATCTGTAAATAAATTTGTAGATAGGTGTGTATAAGATATAATAAATAATGTTTTATTTTATTAAGTTATAGCCCTTAAAAGTAATAATATGTATAGCCCCATATTATTCTTTTTAAATTATGATCAGAATCACTTTTCTAATTTAACTTTAATACAAATAAGTATAAATTTATATGCTAGCGCAAATATATATTCATATTTAATTTTTTGTATAACTTTTTTTGATACTAAAAACAAATTAAATATCACTTAATAAAATAATATTGAAATATATAATTATTAATAATTAAGATTATAATATTGGATATTTTTTTTATAAAGATTAGAGCCTCGAGTTTATTTATTTAAGTTCTTTTTAATGAAAACAATGGAATAAACAGATGACAAATACACAAAAGTTTTGGGTAATTTTCTTGTTGGTTTATTATTATGCTTTACTTCTATCCAGAGTTGTTATGCTACTTTTAAAAGTATTGCGCTACCACTATCGGTATTCGTCAAAAAAAGTAGCGCACTATTACTTACGCTACTTTTTATTAAAAAAAATTTAGAAACAAATTTGTTTTATTTTTTGTTTATAATGTTATTGTATAGTTAATATATAAAAATCAACATTTATAAATATTAAAATATAGTTAGTTTTGATTATAAAAAAATTTATGTAATAAAAATAAATATTTATGGTTATTTGTTGCATTTTGTTTTTACCTAGTGTTATGTGTCCAACTATCTGCCGTGATACATATATATGATATCTCTGATAACTTTATTAGAACATCTTTCATCACTATAAAGCTATCTGCTATTTTATTCATTAGTGTCTGGTGACATAAAATTGTTGTACCAAGGGATAGAGTTTTAATCATCATGGTAAATGATGGATTATCAACCAAGGACATTGGCTGAACTGTATCAATTATAAAATCAACAATAACTTTATCAGCCAATTTCTGAGAAATCTTGGCATTTGTATTATTAATTAATTTGGTTTGAATTGAATTAGTCTTTTTGGATGTAGAGTCACATATACCAAAATTATTTAGATGTTTATCCATTTCCTTAAAACTATTGGCATGAACAGTCTTATATTATAAATACTATTAGAATGTAAAAATGACAATTTACCTTTTGGTGTTTCTTGAGGTTATAACTAGATTATTTGAGGAAATATTTTTTTTACATTTTAAACAAATAAATTTGAAGCCAGTTTTGGTTTATATATATATTTTAAAATATTTTTCAAATCTAGGGAATGGGAAATTTGTATTATAGCTATTAAGAACATTTTCTTCCCTAGTATCTTCCATTTTATTAATATCATTGTCTAAATCACTTTCAACGATTTGGATATCCATAGGCGATGACATTTTAAATTATTAACACGTGATTTAGGTTTATAATACAAATGAAAATATAAATTACAAATTGAAAATATATTTCAATTTCAAAATTAAATAATAAAAATTATAATTAATTATTATATTATATTTAAATTTTTATGTTTGTTCTTAAATTCATTATATTTTTTGAAAGTAGCTATGTAGCGTGCTACTTAGCTACTTTCAAAAAAAGTAGCCCGCTAAAAAATTAAATAATTGCACAAAAAGTAGCCGCTATTTTTGGTTAGCCTCAAACGCCGCCGTTTAAGAAAATCACGCCGGCGCGCCGCCGATTATCATGTCGGCAGCGCACGGCCGGTGCAGAAATTTCTTTCATATTTTATACTTTATTCTAATAATTAATCAACATCACTCTTGTAATTTTTTAATGTCAATCAGGATTTTGATGAATAAAATCATAATTATATTGACGTCATTATAGAATTCAATCAATCAAAAATCTAAAATTCCAAAAGTTACCATAATTTTACATATTTTAAAAATGGATGTATCTACATTTAATAATTCTATAAATAATTTTAGTATTCTAACTGGATAATAAAAAATCCATAGTCTGGAAATTTTTTGCAAAAAAATTAGAGAAATTATTACTGCTCTAAGATATAAAACTGCAGAGGTTGAATTTGAATTCGAGGAAGATCAAAAAAATGTCTAAGTACAATAGATTTAACATCAGACATGTTAGATCTTGACAGCATTGATCCATACCCGGGTACCCGTTTCAAATTGGCAATTCCAATGATAATAATAACAATAATTCCACGTATATGAAAACCTTAAAATTAAATGTCCCAAGCCAAACACGTTGGCATAGTATTTTAATTATGCTAGAAAGCATATCTGGATTAAATAAGAATTTAATTAATAATGTTTTGAAAAGAATTGGGAAGCACTTTCTCAAATTATGAATCTGATCTGGTAGAAGAACTATTAGCATTTCTTTCAAAATTTAAAAAAACTGTCGAATTTCTCAAAAAGGCATACTTTTAACTTAGCGTTACTTTTTAGAAGTGAAATTGAAACACATTTAATAGTAAATGATAGTGATAGTTCTGAAATTATTTCACTTAAGGAAAATATACTAAAAAAAACTTGCGTTACGATTTCCAGTTTGTAATCTGCAAGTAATATTATATAAGTATATTCTTTTATTTTTTATTTAAAATTATCTAGGTATTGGCTTCTCTTTTAGATCCAAGATTTTAAAAATTGACAATTGTGTCAAAGTATTTAATAGAGCAAAATTGCTCAGCTTCAGAATTTATAAAAACCATCTTAAACTTATAGATAATGGATAATCAGGTAGTAAATATAATTAATGAGGATGAAGATGAATTATTAAATTCAAGTTATTTGACAAAATTGGCAAATAAACATTCAACAAATATAAATTATGGTTCCAAGTTAGGTGACTTAGAACAATAATGCCACAGTTTTCTTGGAAAACGACATTCACAAGATATGGACGTTCTAAATTTTTGGAGAGAAAAGTGAACTTCCCAATCTTTCCAGGCTCAACAAAAATTTCTTTGCATTCCGGCGAGTAGCACACCTAGTGAAAGAGTTTTCTCTACCCCTGGATTGACGTTATATTCAAGGAGATCATCATTATGTCCCGAAAATTTAAATAAAATAATTTTTATACATTTATAAAATTACGAAATCGATTTTGGATATAATAAGTTTTCTATTAAATGAATATAAAAATATGCCAAGATATCTGTAGAATAGTGTATATTTATTTGTGTTTTTTAAAAAAATTAATAAGCAATTAAAAAAATTTATGTTATAAATATTTATAACTGCGCCGATTTTATTGACGGCGGCTAAAAATCGGCGCGCCGCCAGCCGTCGATTAGATTTTTGAAAATTGCGCTGGCCACCGGTTTTGTCGGCGCACAGGTCTAGCTTACCAAAAAGATAGCGCTCTACAAGTAGCTCGCTACTTTAACAACTCTGCTTTTATCATTAAGAAACATAAAAAAAATTTTTATTAGTGGTGCCTTCCTTTACTTTTTTATGGTAGTTATGGAAAATTTAACACGTGAATAGGAAAGTTATTTTAAAAATAAAATAAAAATTCATATAAAATATATGTATCTGAAAATATTGACCCATCCTGATCCAATGCTGATATGTAATATCAGTGCCACCCTACTTTTTGTATATATTTTGTGCCAAACACACGAGAATTAATTTTTCAACAAAAAGGTAGGTCTTTTTTGAATAGCTCTATAGCATTTTTATATAATTCATATATATACTTGATTTTTTAGTATTCCATAATTAATTCAGAAATCTTAAAATAATCCTCAATGTTGCATCATAGTTCAGTCTGAATTACTCAAATTTTTTTTCTGTTAGGATTTTAAAAAAAACTTCCCAAATTAATTTAAAATATCTACCAAATGATCTTTCTACTGCCCATTTTGATTATTATTACTCCCCATTTCTTATTAAAAGCTGCCTGAATAATTTGTCGCATATTTTAATTTTAATGACTATCTTTTACATTGCCATTATATGACATGTAATTTCTTTTATTTAAAATAGATGTCACTTTTGTGGAAAAATTTTTAATCAAGAGGCACATCTAAGTAGACACATTAAATCAGTTCACCAGCGTCTCAAGCCTTATAAATGTTATTTGTGCCCAAAGATACCACCCAATCCTGCATTAGCTTATGATGAGCAATTGACAGGTTTGATTTAGATGAAAATGAATTTTTAAAAATATTAATAGATATTTTTTTTAAAATTTAATAATAAACTTTTTGCAATATTTTATTAAATTTTTTAAATAAATATGTTTTGGGAAATGATTTCATTGATTTGTATTGCCATCCATCAAGATCATCCAGATATCTTATATATATATCTACACCTATTATGGTAAATGGGTCAGACAGAAAAACCAGATATCCTATATAAATATCTACACCTATTATGGTAAATGGTTCAGACAGAAAAACCCTAAAAATCTTTTTTTGTTTACTAATTCATGCTGATCTCTTATCCTAATTGGAATTTTATGATAAATATTTTTAAAAGTAACAAATTTGAGTATAATCCAAAATATATTATTTAGCAATTATTATTAATTTTATACTTTAGCAGTGGTTTCCCTTTTTACCTTTAATCCAGGGATGCGAACCTGGCAAAATTTTTGCCCGGGTTTGGTTCAGTTTAAGGTTAAAAAAAGGTCGGTTCGGGTTCAGTTCAAGGAAATATTTTAGAACCCGGGTTTGGTTCCGGGTTCAGCTAGGGTTTAAGAATTTTTGAATTAATAAAAAAAATTAAAGACCTGCAGAGATAGCATTTGCACGGCTGATTAAAAAAAATTTTGCCCGTCTCGGATTTTTTTTCAAAAATTTTTACGGCCCGGGCTTAAAAATTTTAGGCCCGGCCCGGATATTTAAAAAAAAATTTTGGGGGGCCCGGCCTGGATTTTTTTAAAAAAAATTTTTTAAATCCGGCTCGGAATTTTTTAAAATTATATTCGACCTGGTTTAGTATTTTATCATATTTTTCGACGAGTATTATCATTTAATAAGCAATTAGCTAATGTGGTTAAATCGCTCGTTTTGAGCCGATTTTTAAAAACGGCTAACTCAATATTTTCGCAATATTGACTAAGCCTCGAAATTTCGATACTATATGCTTAGACCTTTGCTCCTTCCATGAGCAAAATTTTCAGGCTTGCATATATTTTTCAGACGTTGAATTTATGGGATCAAGGCTTTCAACGTGGGGATTTATAAATAAAATTTTTATACCTTTTTATCTATATAAATTTTATCATATTAAAAAAATACTTCCATTATGTTTTTGTAATATTTTTATTCAAAAACATGAAAAAGTAAATTTTTAACATTTCATATATAAATATATTAAAAAGTTTTTATAAAATACTAGAAATTTAGTGGCAAAATTACTTGCATAGTTATGGGTAATTTAAATTCTGATTTAGGAAATATTTTGTTTGTATTGAACAATGACTGACACACCTGTTAGTAATATTTAAACACCAAGCCAAATCAAAAACGTGTAGAAAAATAATGTTATGTCTTAAACCTTGAATCGTGGATGCTCAGAATTTTTGTTGGTGATAATATAGAAATAATCTTTAATCAACTTTGATGTATGAGCCTTTTCAGCTTCTATAGAAAGAATGTTTTTCCCTTTCCTAGGTTAATTCAAATTTCGATACTTTTACCGTGAATATCGTTTATCACGAATTGATGGCGAATTCACATTAGCGAATACTATTCTGCGTAGACATTATCGCGAATATTTAAAGCGAAACTTTTATCGCGAATCAATTATCGCGAAAATTTTATAACGAAGTCATTCCATCGAAACCCAAATCGTGAAGACAATATAGCAAAAACTATCATATCAGATAAAGGTTGCATGGTTAATTAATTGACAATAACTAATAAAATATCCTTAAAACGTATTTGGGTCATTCCATGTCAAATGAGCAAAAAAATGAGATTTTCGACCGACCCCTTTCGATTTTTTTAAAATTTGGTAATCAAAGAAAGGTTAGTGTAGTTAAGAAATAGCCAAAATTTTAGCCTCATAGCATTTATATTTTTGGAGATATTAGGGTTCAAAATAGCAAAAATGACGTATTTTTTCTACCTTCATTCAATTAAGCATATCTTAAAAACTACATAATTGTAAATAACTAGTGCTGTAAACATTTTTAAAAAAATCGAACGCGTTCAACGTTCATTGACAAAAATCGAACGCGTTCACTTTCACGTTCAAATTCAAAAAAAGGAACGCGTTCAAGTTCATGAACGCGTTCATACGTTCAAAATTTTATGATAAATTTTTTTTTAAATTTAATTTGATATAAATAAATGCCTTATATTTTTCAACACAATATATTAGCCATGATAAAAAATAATAGTTTTATTTTGATAATATAATTATAAATGCAATATAATAGAGCGATAAAAAAATAAATTTATAAAAAAAAATTCTTATTAATTTTTAATAATAATTGCTTTTCAAAATTTTCATCTGATAGGCATGAACGCTTGTCAGTTAATACAGCGTTAGCTATACTAAAAACTCGCTCAACAGGGGCAGATGAAGGGATTGCGGTGTTATACTTGATAAATAATTTTTTTAAAAGGGGGAATTTATTAAAAACATTTAATGTTTTATCCATTGTTTCAAAAAATTGAGCTATGTTATCATCTTCCAATCTGCCCTCTTCTTCCTCGTCAAAAAAAAAGGATATCTCGGAATTGATTTTAAAACAGTGAAATATTTTTGATATTTGGGCCATGGTAATTCTAATTCATCTAATATTGAATTTTGATTTTCAGAATCTGATGATGAAATATTTATATCCATGCAAATGCTAATCTATTAAATTAAAATATAAAATATTCAAATTAATAAACTTTAATCTTATCTTCTCTAGCAATAGCACTATGGTACGTTAATTGCAATATGAAAGAGGAAAAAGTAAAAACAGCTGATTAAAAAATATAAGACTTTTTTGTTAAAAAATTGGATTAAATATTAATTTTTCAAATAAATAAAAATATAAGACTTTTTTGTTAAAAAATGCGGATTAATATTAATTTTTCAAATAAATAAAAATAAAAAGTGTTTTTAAAATTGAACGAACGTAAAATTGAACGCGTTAATCAAAGAAAAGGAACGCGTTCATCAAAGAAAAGGAACGCGTTCACGTTCAAAGTTCGTCAAAAAAAAGGGAACGCCGTTCATCACCTTTTTCAAAAAAACGAACTTCGTTTACGAACGTACAACACTATAAATAACAAATTTAATATCAAAATTACGTACAAAGATTCTACTTTCAGATAAAAAAAAATTTTTTAAATTTTTTCCCAATTTCCGGTCATTTTATGCAAGGATTAAAAATTATTTTTTGGAATAAAAATTTAGTGGACATTACTTAACTCTTCCTTTATATTTCTAAAAAAATTTGGTCTGGGACGCGGCCATCTTCATTTTCAAAATCGATTAAAATGTTTAGAAAACTGTATAAATATTTTCCCGGAAGCGTCTTTGTATAAAATTATATATTAATCAGTTTTTAATAGTTTTTCTTGAACTATTTGATATAATTTAAAGGATTATTCATCTTGTAAGTGAAAATAACAATAAATGGGGCTTTCATTCAATTATAGAAATTATCTATCGGTAAAAGAAATTCAATTTATTACTTTATTTATAATTTACTATAAATTTTTTTGCCCATATAACATATATTAAATGAATATTAATAAAATATGTCCAACCAAGTTTCGAGTTCTTGAATATATGAAATCTTGTGCATTTCATATATGACGCCAAAAATAATATCAAAATTTTCGCTACTCAATATTTTAATTTGATATTTTTAAAATATTACAAATATGAATTTATTATTATTATGAAATTATTATATACGAAATAAAAGTATCATCATAAAATAATCCAAAACAATATAAATATTGGATCAGATTTTCTAAAATCGGCATACCCTTACTCAGGCGCGTACGCAGGAATTTGGCCTGGGGGGGGGGGGGGGATAATAAATTTTTTAAGAAATATTATTGTTATTTAAAAATATCAAGCATAAATTTATTAGGACTAATAACTATTTCTAATACATAATTTTAAACTAAATGAATTATAAAAAAATTATATATATAAACCGGCACATAAAAAACTATAAAATAAATGTGAATTAAAAAATATAAAGTGAATATAACCACCATATGAATCACTTAAATGACCCAAAATAGAAATTTGAATTTTTTCAGCCTTTAAAATTTATATATAAAGTAAAATAATTTAATTTTGAAAATATAAATATTAATACACAAAAGTTTCTTAGGAATAATTGTATTTTATATTATATTTACAATGTAAAATCCAATCTTCGTTGGGATTGAGCTAATTTTTCAATTACTCATCCTTGCTTGGCATCAAATGCTTATAAATATTTAAAAGATCCAAACCATTCAATCCACTTTCAGAAGTTGTACTTCTTAGGTATGTTTTCAGAGAACTGCAGGCCCGGTTCCCGGGTCGGATCGTATTTTAATTTTTTAAATACACCCGGGCAGGGCCCGAAATTTTTTTAAAAAAACAGCCGGGCCAGGCTTGATTTTTTTAAAAAAAAAATATCCGGGCTCGGCTATATATTTTAAAACCAAATATTTGAAATTAGCTATAAAAATCTAAAATAAATATAATTTCTTTTAAAAAAAAAGGCCGGGCCGAAAAAAAATCCAGCCCGTGCCCTGCAAATTGTATCTTTGCAGGGCTCTGTTATTCTTCTTAAAAAAGAGAATGTTCTCTCATTAGTTTACTAATGGGAAGAGTTGCTAATATATATAATCATTTTAATACATTGGAAATAAAATCTAAAATGTGTTTGAAATTATACAAAGCATCCATAACATTTTTTGGGACTATATCTTAGTTAATCTTTTAAACATAGTTATTCAGCTAATAAGGTATCAAACAAATATTATCTTTTTCTATCACATCTGAAAAAGATTGGGTTTGTGGAAGTAATATCTGCAGATTGGTAAGTGCTGCATGATGAATTAAAAACCATTCATTTATTTGGATTATAGTTTTATAATACTTTTCTACTGATCTTATACTAATGTTTTGACGATGAGCTTGCCTTGCTGCAAATCGAGTGAGACAAATATTAAACACGTATAGCTCTCCTTTTGACTCAACGATAACATATAAAATTGAAATTCTTCATCAACATTAGCCTTAATTTCCTTGAGTTCTAATAAAATGCTCTTATTCCTTAATCAAGTCAATGTCATGTTTTTGAAAAGTATTACATATAATAGTTGTATAATTAATACATTCTAATGAGAAAAAAAAATTGAAATAAGTATTGAATCCAATAATTTCCTTGCTTCTGAGGAAATATTTCTTTCAGGCCATTGTGATATTTCAGTAATAGCATTAATAATTGGTTCTTCTAACTCCATAAAAGCTGTTACTGCTTGATGGCGGAGACTCCATCTCGTTGGACAAGCTTGCACTTTCTTTCTCCCTGTTGGATAAGGAGTTTCAGAAAAATTATTATTTGACTAGAAATATGGAAATGGTAGATAAATAATAAGCCACTAGAAATTTGAAAATAATAGGTAAATATTACGCCAATGAAAACTTGAAATCGAAATTAATTGATACTTAATAGATGAATGTGATAAATAAATGTAATTAAATATATATTTAATATGAGATAGGAAGAAATATTAACAAATATAAATTAATATAAACATTAATATTTTTGAAAATCCGGCATCTGCATTTTTTGGCTTTGGGCCCCCCCCACTGCGTACGCCAATGCCCTTACTTGTAAATAAGAATAACAATAAATGAGTGTTTCAATCAAAATAAATTTATAAGGTAAATGTGATAATTGACCAGGGTCAACACATAAACATGATCAAATAGAAATATTGTTTCGTTCTAAGCACATCAAATTTATAACATACAAATAATGGCTATCCGTAGATAGAACCACTCTTGAAACAATAACCAAGCCAGTATATCTAATTATCAATGCCTTTTTGAAAAAATGGAATCTTTATTACCCATTCTTTTATTTCAACGCAACAATCGTTGTATTAAAACAATCTAAAATTGAACATATAAGAAGGCCAATATTTAATTTTATGTGATTTTTCAGAAAACTATAGCTTTATACTTAAGGATGAAGTACAAAGTTATCATTGGAATAGGGTTCAATCCACTGTTTACCCACCCTTTTGTTATATATTATAAAGATAATTTTGCCTATATTTGTTGCCTAAATTATGTAATGATATTCGAATCATTGCAATACAATAGCAGTGCATTATTTCCAAAAAACATTGGTAAATTTTTTATTTTTCCGATGGATCCGCTTCCAGTATAAAAATCTTAAAAAATTTAATATTTACTATGATGAGATGGATTTAGGGGTACAGGCAGAATGACATTTTTCTGCTACAGCACACGGGAAAAGTGTTTGTGATGGGATTGGTGGCACTGTTAAAAGGTTAGCCTCTAGAGCTAGTTTACAAAGGCCTTACTCAAAGCAAATAACCACATCATATGAATTGTACGAGTTTGCTAAAGAAAATATTTATTTATGGCATATATTTTGAATATATGACCCAAAAAAATTATGAATCCGAAGAACTATTACTCAGGGCAAGATTTTCAAAAACTAGACCTATACCTGGATGAACACAAAAAATTTACACCGTGATTCCAACAGGTCTACATCAATTCAAAAGTAAAATGTATTTTAATATAATAGAAAGCACTATAGAATTTATCATATAATAATGAAAGTATAATTTTTGGAGAAATATCAGGATACATACGTGTGTTTATGATTCTAATTAGTGAGAAAAATCAAAAGCAGGAAGAAATATATATATAAAGTTTTTACACCCATCCGGGCCTTCTAATTCCTTTACATTTCCAAGTATAGACGACACTCTTTACTTTCCAAAATGTCATATCTTAACATTAGTTTCACCGTTAACTGCTACTGGCCGTAGTTATACATTGTTGTCACAAGAAAGTAAATGCGCTACCGAAAAATTAGAATCTTTTAAAAGTGAGTTATATATTAGATTTTTAAATTTATATTATATCAATTATTTTTAATATGGGCCATATATGAAATGCATCTGATTCATATATTCAAGAACTATAAACTTGGTTGAATATATTTTATTAATATTCATTAAATATATGTTATATGGGCAAAATTTTTTATAATAAATTATAAATAAAGTAATAAATTGAATTTATTTTATCAATAGACAATTCCATAATTGAATGAAAGCACCATTTATTGTTATTTTCACTTACAAGATGAATAATCCTTTAAATTATATCAAATAATTCAAGAAAAACCATTAAAAACTGATTATATAATTTTTACAAACGCCCCCTTTCGGGAAAATATTTATACAATTTTCTAAACATTTTTATCGATTTTGAGAATGAAGATGGCCGCGTCCTAGACCAATTTTTTTTTATAAATTTAAATAAAGAGTTTAGTAATGTCTAATAAAAATTTTAAAAAAATTGAAGGTATTTCCAAAAAATCGTTTTTAGTCCTTGCATATTAATTAAGATGACCGGAAATTATCTGAAAGTAGAATCTTTGTACGTAATTTTGATATTTACAATTATGTAGTTTTTAAGATATGCTTAATTGAATGAAGGCAGATAATGGTAAAAATACGTCATTTTTGCCACTTTGAACCCTAATATCTCCAAAAATATAAATGTTACGAGGTTAAAGTTTTGGCTATTTCTTAACTACACTAACATTTCTTTACTTACCAAATTTTATAAAATTAGAAGGGGATCGGCCGAATCGTTGTTATTTGTCATGGAATGACCATGATTTAAGAAACTTTTGGGTAAATTGATATTGAATGTTTTCCCTTAATTAAATAATTTGCAACTTATTTAATGTTTCGCAATAATGATTTCGCTCATATATTGGCGGCAGAAAATTCGCTATAAAGGATTCGCGATTAAAGTTTAACTGCTACTAGTTTGCGATAAAGAGTTCCTAATGTATTCGCAGTTAAGGTTTAGCGGAAATAAATTCGCTATATTGTCTTCGCTATAAATGTTTCGCTGAATTGATCTGAAACGAAAAAATAACCTGTAAACTATTGTCAAACAACACTTTAATCCTGTTTTTCTTGGCCAAAGCAATATTTAGTGTAATAGTGTATTTTATTTTCCAAAAGTTTTTTCAAATATAAATATATGGTATGAAATAATTAATTGTGGTTCAACAAGCTGCTCATTTGTGAAAGAGTCTAAATCCTTAATCAAACTAATTAGCAATGAGAGCCATAAAACAACAATCTCAAGTGCTCTTTATAAAAAATCAGCTTTAAAATATTATGAATTTAATTATTTAAAGATTCAAGGTCGTCACCAGAGGAGGTTGACTATTATTAACAAAATTTTATATTTTCTTGTTATCATATATGCAGTTTACATGTTATTCTAATTACTTTATATAATTTCGATATTAAATTACTAAAAAGTATTAAATATTAAAAAATAAATAAAAAAATATATATTAATAAGAAAAAATATAATGATATGATTTTTTATAGCTACTTTTAAACATTACAAATAAATTGAATTTTTGTTTTTTTTATGTTAGGAAATTATGTTCAAAAATATAATTATCTATAAAATCTTAAAATTAAAACGATGATAATATTGGATTGTTTTTCCAAATTATCTGGCGGATCCTGTTTTCTAAAACATAAATATTAGCCCCGACTCATTCTGATACTTAATATCGAAACCACAGCTTTTGTTAAAATTAATTGATTATGAAAATACTATTATACATTAATAAAGCAAATATTATATTATCAAAATATATTACATGATAATTAGACAAAAAAATAATTAATTAAAATGCATCAAATTATAAGCGATTTATCATAATTTCATTTGTTAAATAAATGACTATAAAACGTTTGAAATCCAAAACAGTAAAACCTAATTAATCAATAGATTCCCAAAAATTATTTTTTTAAATTAGGATCATCTGCCAATATATCCATCAGAGACCATTATGAGCGTGATCCCTCTACTGGCCATTGGATAAAATCTTTCTCTCGCAAAGAGTTCCTTATAAAACATATACGGAGTGTGCACCAAGGCTATAGAGCATATTCATGTGACCTATGTGGGATGAAATACTGCGATAAGCGTGACATGGAAAATCACAAGAAAAAAGCTCATTCAATTGATTCCAAGCATTTGAGACTTCAAAATCTAGGCAATGATACACAGACTCCCATTCCTAGAGCTTGTCCTTACCCTGCTTGTTCTAACATTGTGTTTACGAGCAAGATACACTTGTCTAAACATGTCAAAACCTTTCATTCCTCATCTTCCAACATTAAATCCTACAATTTGGGCTTAGATGAAGGAAACAAAATGGCCACTCCCATAGATAAGTCCTCTGCTTTAACAAATCGTGGGATGGATGATATGAACGTGAACAATTACTATGGTAGTCTCATGAATCAAGATGAGACAACCCCATTCGAAGATTCCGCTTCTTTCTTAGGTTCTCTATAAGATTTATTTGAATATTCTATTTAACTTAGGCTTGGCTCAAACAGAGCGATATGAAATTGATCTAACCTGTCACATATATTAAATATATGGCCAAAATTTACAATTCAGATTTATTGCAAAATATTTTGCAAAATGATAGTTATTTTACTTAATTAGTTGAGCCAGGCCTATTTTGATATTATTCAGTTAAATATTAAATTTGGATAGGTTATAACGTTATTATCTTATTAAGTATGTCTTGTATTGAACTATTTGTCTTCTTGCACTTCAATCAGAAGATATACCAAATTCCCTCCCCCTCAACATACACTCCCCGATTCCCCTTCAACTCAAAATGAGTTCTATCAGTCAGCTGGACAGTATCCCCTATCCATCTTCACAACTTACTGATGGAATGTTAGTCACCGACAACTCACTCGTTTCCCCAAATTCGCTTTGTTTTGCCTGTGACACTTGTGACAAGCTTTTTACCAATAGGGCCTCACTAGTGAGACATTTCAAATCAGTCCACGAAAATCACAGGGCCTATGCCTGCAGAATCTGTGGCCGATCCTTCAATCAAAGACCTCACCTTGAAAGACATTTGGCATCCCTTATCCATGCAGATGTCTTAAAATACGCTTGCGATTATTGTGGGAGAAGGTAGTCATATCTTATGTTTTTTTTCTCACTTTCTTTTCCATTCCATTCTCTTTTTCTTTCTTTTTATCCTTCCCTCCTATTCTGGACTAAGTCTTTCCTGCCTTCTAAAATTAAATAAGTTAATCAGATGCTTCAACTAGGGAAGAAATTGACTTCCTTATACGCTAGATACTCACTATGCCTATTAAAAATTATTTGATTTGATTTAAAATTTATTAATAACAAATGGTTTGATTCAAAACATTAATCGATTTGACAAATAATAGATTTAAAATATTTTTTAGTTGCGAAAAATTTAATAAGTATTCAAATTGTTTTATAATTTTAATATTATCTGCAAGCTTTCTTCAATTAATATTTTTTAAAATTATTTATTCGAAATTTCACTAATCAAATCGGAATACTTCTACCTTTTCCTTTCCACTTACTTTTAATCAAATCCTAAAGGGATGACCAATGTACTCAGTCTTTTGTTTCCCTTAAATTTATTCAAATTTTTTTGACCCCTCCCCTTCCTCACCCCAAAGATTTGCCTTGAAGTCAAGATTGGAGAAACATTTATTTGATTTAAACTATCACAGGGATCCTAACTATGTTAGGGTTCCAAAATACGTTTGTTATATTTGTACACCACCTCAAGCCTTAGCGATAGGCGATGAACTAGATTTTGTGCCTGATGATAGCCCATTTTCAGCATTGTTGGCCGATTTGAAGTAACACTACATTTTACTATTTTATATTATTAATACTAGAGTATACTGATTGATACAGGTTTTTTTCAGCACTTGAAATTAGAACCTGCATGGAACTCCTCTCTAGAAATAACACCCTCTCCTGCCTGGCCCTAATAAACTAACATTTTTATGAAGTAAAAAATTAGTAATTGCAATTTTCTTATAACAGAGAAATTCTAATTAGGTAATTTCACTCCAGATCGATAACTTTTGTCCCAACTTTTTGATTTAAATAAAATTTCCATACTGAAAGAACATCATTATAGTGCGCACATATTGAACGTTGCAACGCAGTTTTTCAAAACGCAAACAATGCATTTTAAATGCATTCGTTCAAATTGAGAACATTTCCATTTTTCATTTTAAATTATTTTTTAAAAGACAAACTTGCTTGCGTTTTTCAAAACTTTTTAAATTTTGAAGTGATAAAATTTTTATATGTAAGAAAAATCATTTTTAAATGATATAATAATATTTTTAGGACATGAAACGATGAAATTACCAAAAGGTTTGCAGAAAGCTGGGCGACCATAAAAAAATTTTATTGTCATGGAACATTTATCAGTTATTGGTTCCAGGTATAAATATATAAGAATATTAAATATAATGATACAATTAGCTTGGTATTGGAATTCCCTGGTTTTGATAACAGTCATCTTTATCTCAAGAAGAGATTGAGAAACTTCAAGGATCAACTGAATAAAGAGAAAATAGCAAAACCTACTTAATTAAATATTCATGTTATATATTTTATTGGTAAGTTGATAAATAACAACTTGGAAAATAAAGAGTAGGGCTCTGATCCTCAAATTCTGTTCTGGTAATACTACAAAGCATATCCAATACTGATCCAAAATTTATATTGATTTTATTTACCATCTATATTTGAATAAATCCCACAAAATATTTTACTATTCATAAAAAATTATAAGTGTATTTTGTTTTCTATATTCTCAAAAAGTTAATTCCCTGATTAAAATATTTGAAATGTTAATTTTCATGTGGAACTCTCAACAACAAAAAAAACCTAAATTACTGAATGAATTTAATAAGTTATTAAATTTTGTAAGAAAATCCATCTGGGATGCAGTAAAGCTAATTTTTATCTATAATTTTTTATATTTTATTTAGACTTTTTATGGATAGCCTTGTAGAGGATGCTGAAATCTTAAGTTTAGACATCCAAGTGCTGTTTAAAAATGAGGTTTTAAAATTTCTACACTATCTGAAGACAAATGGTACCTTACACACCTACAATTGAATCTGCATTGACATATTTAATAACATTATATAAATTATTTATTTATTATAAAAATATATTATGTTTATGTGTTTTATATTAATTTTTATATTGACATTATATTTTTTTAATAAAATTTTTATATATTTATATTTGTCTCTATTTTCATATTTAATATAAGTTAAATGATATATTAATTTAATTTTTCTTAACATTCAAATTATATTAGTGTCCAAATTAACATTTAAATTAAGGGATATATCAATTCTTAATATTCAATTAATTTAATTATATCATTTAATTACTATGGTTGATATTGAAAATCTATTTATAGAAGCAACAGATAAATCTTATTTAGGTATAGTTTTTACACTATAAAATAATTAAATTATATGTATATATGAAAATTTCATTTGTATCATGTTGTAAGAAATAGAATTAATATTATTTTAAGTTTGAGGTTCATTCCCCATACTTTAAAATAGCTCAATGGGCTACATCTAGAATAGTGTTCAAATTAACATGCAATAGAAATTAAGGGATATATCAATTAAATTTTTCTTAATATTCAATTTATTTATATCGTTTATTAATAACATCATTGTCATAAAAATTAAATATGTAACATAATTTAATATAAAATATTTTTATAAATAAATTTAATAATTTATAAAATTTTAAAATTTGTCTTTAAGAATTTTTTATTCCATTGAAGTAGAATTATTTTCCCTGCTAGGCAAGAAAGGTTTTATAGTGATTCTTTGTTTTAATGTTTTAAATTTAAATTCTTCATATTGAAATAATAAAACTTAACGCATCAATTTAAACATGGCTGTGTTTACGTTTTTTTATATGCGTTTTGAAACGCTGCGTTGCAACGTTCAATTTGTTGGCACTATTAGAAGACATCGAATCCAAAGTTTTAATCTCATAGAATTAACATTTCTTCAAATATCAATGAAAGTGTCCAAAATATATTTTTCGAAAAATACTATTTAAAAAAATAAAGATAAGTTAAAAAAAATAAAATAATGATTAGAAATAAAAATTAGGTGTTATTTTAGAATTCTCTTATAAGCCCTTTAGTAAATATTAAAGAATTTTTTAAAATGATGGTGTTGCGGTCTTTATTTATGTTATAAATTTTAAACTTGAACCTAAATGGCTCCAGGCGTTTTACTTTCCGAATTTCATTGAATTTAATATTTTATTATTCACTTTCATTATATCTATAATACAAATATTGATAAAAACATTTAAATGATATTAGAAAATTTAATTACATATATGCTAAAAATATATTAAATGCTTTTTAGTGTTTATAAATTTTTGCCAAGAAGACGAAAACATGATATTCTAATTTTTTTAAATAGATGTAGATCTTAGTGAAATTTGTTCTAAATATTACAAATATTAAAGAACCCAATATATTTACAAGTGTTCTAAACCTATGCGGTTAGATGGACTGCTACATTAAAAAAAATAGTTTTAATAAATGTTTGTTTTTATTTTATATTAGAATCATTACATGTACCTTAGTTTCTATTCATATTTTTACCTAAATCCCAAGGGGTCATGCGAAAATCATATTTTTTTGATTGATTGTACACGGAATGATTCAACCTTCTAAAGTTGGCGAATAAACTGATTATAACCTATTTCGGGATTATTTTATAAAGCGAAATAATTATTTTATTTATCTAACCTCTTTACCATCTCCCTTTTCAGAAAAAAGAAAGCCCAACAAGGTATACTCTTGACTAACAATGATTTTGATCACAAAAACTTTGAAGATTTCAATGGACAAAACGTTAAATATAATTTTGACAATGACATAGATTACTTAGATGAAAGTTCCCCCAAATCTAGAAGGGGAACCGGAGAGGACAAGCTTTTAGCATCCCTCACCTCCAAGCTCATTTCCGACACCTTGCAGATTCAAGGATTGGACCTATTGATCGAAAATATAAATAATTCACCACCCGACGATCAACTGTTAATCAACCATTCAGGTGGCTCTGATCAGCTCATCGATCATCACCTAATTCAAAGTGACCAGTCGGATCCATCATCGGATCAGCTCTTGATGATGGATCAATCTCCTAACAATAATAATCAGCAGTTAATGGTTCAATTGGATCAATCTGAAGAGCGGCAGATAGAGCAAGGTTTGTAAGTTTTAAGATAATATTTTTTTAAATTTAATTTCTTGAATTGAAACTAGTTATATATATCTCTACTCTATTTTAGACGAAGAAGAATTAGCTGGATATGACCAAGAGATGGCGCTTATGAAACGTCAACGATTCGATATGTCGGGTGCTTTTAATAACAGAGTAAGTTTGAGAAAATCAAGAGATGATTCTGAGCCAATGAAACTTTCATCAGAGATGGATGATAATGAAGCCACAACTACCGGTTTGTTTTATTTTTAATAACATTTTCGAATACCTGCTGAGTTGCTCAATTACAGAACATAGCTGTCTTATATGATTAAATGTTGTAATCACGTTTTTAATATTAACTATTGAGAAAGCTCTAAAATGTTAGTATAATTTTGTTTGCTATTTAATATCAAGATGACCCTACCAAATCATCATTCATAAAGGATCCTCAGGTGAGAGAACGGCTCCTAAAAATACGTCAATCATCTATAGTTAGGTTCGGACGCAAAAAAGATTTGGTGAAGCACTTGAAAGAGGTCCATTATGGGCACGTCAATCATTTGGTAGGAAACGTTAGTCAAATTAACAACGGAATTCGCTCAAATGTTGGGGAACTATATTTGGAAACATCTAATAATGACGACCAACAACTCGGTAATATTTTAAAAATTATTTCTGCAATCTTTCTAAATTTATAAATTTAAGTTTACATTTTGATATACGTCTATGATTGAAGAAATATGCTAAACCCTGATGATTGAGCTGTACTACATTTTTTTTTTTGCTGGTACCATTATCACTTATTATGTTTAATTTTTTTAGTAAGTAAATTAATTAAAATGAGCAGTAGTTAATTTTATTATAAAAAGATTAATGTTTTGGGAGTATTTGTTAAATATTGAGCTATAAAAAAAATGTTCAGTCTATTAAGAATTATATAAAGTTTTATTTATTAACAAAAAGTCCTATTATGTAAAATAAATAAATCATAAGCTAAAAGAAATCCTTAATTTTTTAGAAACATATGTATTTTATTATTTAAAATTCAATACGAGTTTGATCAAACTGCAAATGCTGCAGGTATAAATTATTTACATACTCTATTGATTTATCTGTGGATTTCTCTCCTTATAATATAAACACGTCTTTAAAATTGAATTAGTTTTTTAAATGTCTCTAGAACACTCCATTAATTCAAGTTATCTTATGAATTTATATTTTCACCTTTGAGTATTAATTTCTATAAAGGATGGTTCTACGTTATAATCAATATCATCCCACCTCCCTATCTTGATTAAATTTATAAACATAATTAACGTAACTAAGAATTCGCCAAATTTTAGTTTTAGCCCCCTAACTTTTATATTTTTGTAGTTAGTCGAGCTCAAACTGAAACTGGGCCACTACCCGAAACACATCTATAAAATATATTTATTCAAGGGGCCATACGTAATTTTCTGAAATAAATAAAAATAAAAATGGATAGTTGCTATATCGATCATGGAATTACGTTATCATTATAGTAATGCTTAAACATAATTAACAGAAATGAGAGAAATATGAAAAATCTAAATTCCAACCAAAAATTTTGATTGAAATTTCATTAATACAATTTTTTTTTAAATCACATAGACTTTTCTTCCAACCCTCATAATAATATGGAAGAAGATGCTAGCCAATCAGGCAACAATGGAAGTGTCTTGGCCCAACTAGTTCAAGAATCTCGCTTCCAAGAACAATATGGAACTACTGATCAACACTCTGACATAAGGTTTGATTTTAGGGACATGGCAACATTATAAATAATTATCTTAATTCACTTTTTTTATAATATAATAATCCCTATCTAATTACCAAATCAAATATATTTTTACAAATAAATGGGTAAATATCGATATACCATAATTAACAGTAATTTACCTGCTACCGCCACCATATTGTATCAACCCACTGCTTCATCCACCACAGTCGATGAAAATGGCAGGTCCAACACTGCTAATCAATCAATGATCTTGTATCCATCATCTGTAGCCGATCAATTTGGGGATAGGAGGTGGTACATTATGAATTCACGATAAAAATATTAGTTTTTTTTATAAAGTTCACATGAGCAAATTTAGCTTACATAATATATAAATATTTAAGTTCAAAGGATGTAGATATATTGTACAAAATATTTAATTTTTTTATAAAATGGCCGAAATATTATTATGATATGAACACTTTAGAAAAAACAACATAATATAGGTTTTAAAAAATTTACCATTTTTAATATACTGTTTTATTTTACGGGTTAAATTCCAAATCAGATGGTTTCAAATAAATATGAAGTAATATCTAATTTTCAGAAAAGGATACTTTTATATGTATTGCATTTTTTTTATTAGTGTATTTTTTAAAAATATCTTTTTCTTCTATAATAATTATTTATTAAAAATTTCTATCATAATATTTAAAATACTATAATATTAAGACACTAATAATAAAAATACAATTTTATAATCGTGTTCAGCAAAAGGAACCATATGCCCAGAGTTGTTAACCCTCCTTTTTAAAAGAAGTTAGATCCCGCTCCTAACTTTTCAAAAGGAATTAGCTCCCACTACTAAATTTTTAATAGGAGCTAGTTCCAGCTCTTAGTGATGGAGTGCCACTCCATAGACGCTCTTTGATTTTCATTTTTTTAGTGTACACAAAACAATTCATTTTTTTTTATCAAAAAAGTATTTATATTATGATATATCAAAATATTTATAATCTTTTATTAGCTTTTAAAAGTAATAAATTTTCTAAATTTGAATCTAACAAACATCCACGCCTATCCCCTAAAACCTGTTTAGCAATACTAAACAGGCTCTCAACAGGAGCACTGAGGGAAGTGGAGTATTGTATTTTATAAAAATATTTTTATTCAGGAAATTTATTAAAAAATAGTAATTTTGATATCATTATTTAAAAAATATTTATCTAATATATTATCTTCTTGATGATCAATTTCATGGAATTTAAAAAAATCTTACAAATCATTGAAGGGTTCGCATGAACTAGTAGCTATTTTTTGCATTTGGAATTTGTTTTCTTAAAAAATTAATTAATTTGTATTTTAGTTCCATATTTTATGCATTTTTAATCCATTCCCAATTTAATTTGAATGTAGGATGGATAATAGCCGCAATGATATTTTCATCATTATAAACATTTGAAAATCTTTTATAAAGTTATTTAAATAGATAATTTATTTTTTATTTTAATTTCTACTTCTAAGATGTCTGGATCCATAATATCAAAAACTATTTTTTATCATAAATGAATATTAATATGACTTACAAGATTTTCCAAGAAATTTTCAATATAAAAAGAAAAAAAAACTTGGGTTTTTAGTATTTTAACTGTTTAAATGAAAAACCAATATAAAACTCGGCTCAACCTTATAAATAGATTTATTATTATTTAAAAAATAATTAATTTTTACATTAGATTTAAAAGAAGTATAGTGGCCCTCCTCCGCTCCAGCCCTAAAAGGAGATAGCTCCCACTCCTGATTTCTAAAAGGAAGGGCGCTCCAGGTGTTTTTGAAATATTGTAGCGGCTCTCCAGAAGTGCCGCTCCTGTGGCCAAGCTCCTTAACAACTCTTGCCGAATTTTGGTGTCAAGATTTTTTTAAATCTTATAAGTTAATGGGGAAATGACTAGTTGTCATGATTTATTGCTGTGTGGTGCTGATGCCCTTGACTGTATATATAATGGCCGTGCCTACCTTTTGAATCAACTGATTTGCATTTTATATAAACATGTGGCTGTAGGATATCCTAACCTAGACGTAAACTAATGGCCTCTCAATTGTTTGTCTGATAAGAGATTACCAAGGATTTGACTAGGGAGTTATTCTAACCATTCATGACCATGAAGTCTGTCAGCTGATTAAAAGAGTTAAAAGCTTTAATTTTGTAATGTATTTTTTATGTTAAATGAGTGTTAAAAGGTATATTAGCCTCCCATTTGTTAGTTGCGTCAACTAGTAAACGATCGGTGGACATGTGAAGTCTGAAATCATTGTAGTTTGTTAATCTGGTTGATAAAAATGACAATAAAGATAATTGATGCTGGGAAAAAGTTTGAACCAAACAATTTAAAGGTAACTGGGCGAATGACCTAATGGGTTTAATTTAATGTTTAAAATTTTTTCCATTTTGAATTTGTCCAGAATTTTTGATATAAATTCTTTGTTTTTAAAAATGATGATGAACGGAAAATATGCAAAAATTTTGGTATGTATAGGCATTTAAGTATTAAAAAATGAGCTTTGATGTGCTGGTAAATTGCATAGGATGTGTTGAAAATGTCATAAAGAATTCTTCAGCCTTAATGGTATTAGCTAACTGGGACCCTAATAGGTTTAAACTGTCAGGAGCGATGATATTGTAACTGGAGGCTTGTTGTTTAGAATGATAATTCAGTTTTATTTATATTTAATGTGAGGCCGCTAGCTTGGGAATTGGTTTCCAGATATCTACATTAGCCGAAGTCACAGATGGTTCCATTATCTAAATACCACTGATTATGGTCTAGGTTGAAATACTGTCTTATTTGGAAAATGGGATCATGGATTCCAAAGCAAAATAGAAGAGGTCCTAATGGATCCCTTTGTATGCCTTCTTGGGACAGAATAAGAAAAAATCCATATATCAAAGGTAGTGTTGCGTAATCGGCTAATTTTAGCCGACTAAAAACGGCTTAGCCGAGATTTTAGGTGGAAAAATCGGCTAAGCCTAATTAGGTATAGCCTAAAAATTGGCTAAAAAAATTAGTCAAAATTCTGCATCGATGCTTAGCATTAATTATTATTTATTTATTTTAGTAAAATAATTTATTTTATTTATATTTAATGTAAATATTTTATTATTATCAACAAATAAACATGATATGATTTAATATTTTTTATTTATATTATTATATTTTGAAATGAAAATAAATTTATTTATTTGATGTTTTTTTAATAAAAAAAAATAATATGCTGCTATATTGTAAAAATGTAATATTCTTTAAATATAATTTATTAGTGATTTTCACAATCTTCTTTGTAAATACATCTTTTATTGAGGAATTATATTGTAAATTTTATTAGATAAATAAACAATCTTTTAGGTGAAATCTTTTATCATTTTTTTAAAATTATCTATTTATTATTAAATGAGATGGATTTTATGAAACTTTTTTGATGTTATTTTATATGATCTTTTTAAGGATAATATTTTAATGTGACAATTGTCATAATCGTTCTTTTATAAGTTTTTTGAATTTTTTTGAAGAAAGTATGTTAAAATAAGTATTAATAACATGTGTAAATACAAATTTAGTGAAGATGTACCAATGAAAAGTGACAATTGTCATAATGGTTAATTTTAAAGTTTTTTTGAATTTTTTTGACGAAAATTTGTTAAAATAAGTATTAATAACATGTGTAAATATAAATTTAGTGAAGATGTACCATAGAAAAGTGACAATTGTCATAATCGTTATTTTTAAAGTTTTTCGAATTTTTTTGACGAAAATATGTTAAAATAAGTATTAATAACATGTGTAAATATAAATTTAGTGAAGATGTACCATAGAAAAGTGACAATTGTCATAATCGTTATTTTTAAAGTTTTTTGACTTAAATATGTTAAAATAAGTATTAATAACATGTGTAAATATAAATTTAGTGAAGATGTACCAATGAAAAGTAAAAATTGACATAATCGCTATTTTTAAAGCTTTTTGAATTTTTTTGATGAAAATATGTTAAAATAAGTATTAATAACATGTGTAAATATAAATTTAGTGAAGATAGTGACATTTGTCATAATCGTTAATTTTAAAGTTTTTTGATTTTTTTTGAAAAAAATATGTTAAAATAATTATTAATAACATGTGTAAATATAAATTTAGTGAAGATGTACCAATGAAAAGTGACATTTGTCATAATTATTATTTTTAAAGTTTTTTGAATTTTTTTGAAGAAAATATGTTAAAATAAATATTAAAAATGTTTAAATATTTAGTGAAGATGTACCATAGAAAAGTGACAATTGTCATAATCGTTATCTTTAAAGTTTTTTGAATTTTTTTGACGAAAATATGTTAAAATAAGTATTAATAACATGTGTAAATATAAATTTAGTGAAGATGTACCAATGAAAAGTGACAATTGTCATAATCGTTATTTTTAAAATTTTTTGAATTTTATTGACAAAGATATTTTAAAATAAGTATTGATAACATGTTTAAATAAAAATTTAGTAAAGATGTACTCTAGATAAGCCACAATTGTCATAATCGTTATTTTTAAAGTTTCTTGATTTTTTTTGACGAAAATAGTTAACTTGCATCGATATTGATTTTAAAATAGAAAAAAAAGTTTACCCAAATTTTAAACAAGATTGTCTGATGAAAATTGGTAAAAAAAATAATAATTTCTAACTTAGGATTAGATATTATGATATAAATTTTGCATATTAATTTCTGACCCGATGAACAAATGTAATAAAATGCCAATTTGCTCTTGTTTTTGGGGAAGAATCTATTATTACCATATGTTTTTCTATGGCATATACTCAGGCAATTTTAATTTTACAATCTATATTTTTACCCATTTACATCAAAGAAATTTTAAAAATAACGATTATGACAATTGTCACTTTTCTATAGTACATCTTCACTAAATTTTTATTTAAACATGTTATTATTTCGTCAACAAAAATCAAAAAATTTAAAAAATAATGATTATGACAATTGTCGCTTATCTAGAGTACATCTTCACTAAATTTATATTTACACATGTTATTAATACTTATTTTAACATATTTTCGTCAAAAAACTTTAAAAATAACGATTATGACAATTGTCACTTTTCATTGTCTTCACTAAATTTATATTTACACATGTTATTAATACTTATTTTAACATATTTTCGTCAAAAAATTTAAAAAACTTTAAAAATAACCATTATGACAATGTCAATTTTCTATGGTACATCTTCACTAAATTTTATTTAAACATGTTATCAATACTTATTTTAACATATTTTCTTCAAAAAAATTCAAAAACTTATAAAATAACGATTATGACAATTGTCACTTTTCTATGGTACATCTTCACTAAATTTATATTTACACATGTTATTAATACTTATTTTAACAAATTTTCTTCAAAAAAATTCCAAAAACTTATAAAATAACGATTATGATAATTGTCACTTTTCTATGGTACATCTTCACTAAATTTTTATTTAAACATGTTTTTACTACTTATTTTAACATATTTTTTTCAAAAAACTTTAAAAATAACGATTATGACAAATGTCACTTTTCATTGGTACATCTTCACTAAATTTATATTTACACATGTTATTAATACTTATTTTAACCTATTTTCTTCAAAAAAATTCAAAAAACTTATAAAATAACGATTATGACAAATGTCACTTTTCATTGGTACATCTTCACTAAATTTATATTTACACATGTTATTAATACTTATTTTAACCTATTTTCTTCAAAAAAAATCAAAAAACGTATAAAATAACGATTATGACAATTGTCACTTTTCTATGGTACATCTTCACTAAATTTTTATTTAAACATGTTTTTAATATTTATTTTAACATATTTTCTTCAAAAAAATTCAAAAAACTTTAAAAATAACGATTATGACAATTGTCAATTTTCTATGGTATATCTTCACTAAATTTTTATTTAAACATGTTATTAATACTTATTTTAACATATTGTCGTCAAAAAAAATCAAAAAACTTTAAAAATAGCGATTATGACAATTGTCACTTTTCTTTGGTACATCTTCACTAAATTTATATTTACACATGTTATTAATACTTATTTTAACCTATTTTCTTCAAAAAAATTCAAAAAACTTATAAAATAGCGATTATGACAATTGTCACATTAAAATATTATCCTTAAAAAGATCATATAAAATCATCAAAAAAGTTTCATAAAATCCACCTCATTTAATAAAAAATAGATAATTTTAAAAAAATGATAAAAAAATTATAAAAAGATTTCACCTAAAAGATTGTTTATTTATCTAATAAAATTTACAATATAATTCCTCAATAAAAGATGTATTTATAAAGAAGATTGTGAAAATCACTAATAAATTATATTAAAAAGAATATTACAATTTTACAATATAGCAGCATATTATTTTTTTTATTAAAATAACATCAAATAAATAAATTTATTTTCATTTCAAAATATAATAATATAAATAAAAAATATTAAATCATATCATGTTTATTTGTTGATAATAATAAAATATTTACATTAAATATAAATATAATTAATTATTTTACTAAAATAAATAAATAATAATTAATACTAAGCATCGATGCAGAATTTTGACTAATTTAATTTTAGCAGATTTATATAGGCTTAGCCGATTTTTAGACTTAACCTAATTAGGCTTAGCCGATTTTTAGTTTTAGCCGATTTTTAGGCTTAGCCTTATTAGGCTTAGGCGTAGTTTTTAGCCGATTACGCAACACTAATCAAAGGCATTTGAAAGTCATAAGAGGATTTAATAAATCAAGAGTAGCAGGGAAAAGTTTCATAGAAGAATTTTTAAAAATGGATGCGATATTGCCTATTAAAATTATTAAGAGACGACATATCGGCCCAATCCGATAAAAATTTCGGTGAATCCCTAATAAATATATTAGTTTTGTTTTTATAAAAAATAATTATTTCATATATTTTTTTAAAAAATTTACCATATACTGTATTTAACAATATGTTTTTAATATGGTTACATGAAAATAAATTAGTAGGAAAGAGACAACCATGTTATATCATTCATCTGGAAATATGGGAGGTGGAGGGAACTCGAGTAGTTTTATAATGTCTAATCTTGCAGCTTTGAATAATTCGCTTGGGGCGGCAACTCATAGAGCTCATTTGGACACTTTGCAACAACGAATGTTAATGGCTAATGGTTATACCTTTATTTTTATTAGTTTTGTTAATTTAATGTTACCAAGAGTTGAGATATATTTTAAATAATTTTTTATGACCTTTACTAGCTCCTGAGTTGATTAATGATTATCTACCTTTTTTTTCAATAGAATCAATGTTAGACTTTTCCCATTTGAATCAGTACTTTATTTTGGCACCTAAAAATAACGTTACTAAATAATTTTTCTTTGCTGCCATCCTTATTATTTTCATGAGCTATTAGTTGTATTAAATTTTTCATTTTTTTATAAATGGCTTATAAATAGTGCGTAAATGCATCTATTTATCTATTCAATAATATATCATGTCATTACCATCTCTTTAATTGAATTGAAACATTTTTATATTTTAACCTCCAGCTTCGCCTGACTCCCCTCACCCTTCGACTTCAACTACTGCTCCCCTCTCCGCTGATTTACTCTTGCTTCCCATATACGAATGCAAACCCTGTCGGCGATCTTTTGCCTCTAGGGTCAATTTGAAGAGACACGAGGAGCGTATTCACGGTGATCCAAAACCGGTTCATTTGTGCGAGTTTTGTGGGAAGGTAATTTTCTAGAAATAAAAGGGTCGAAGAATAATGAAAATAACGAAATATTCGCCAAATCTTTGAAAAAGTTAAGATGGATATGTAATAGGAATATTCTAACTTTTAATTTTAGGTAATTTAGGCAGGTACCCTTGTAAAGGTACCTAGGTAGAAATCTAAAGTCCTTCGTTCAATTGAAATTTAATATTAAGGTGAAGAAAGAGATATAGAAATTTTTTTTATAAATTTAATTAGTGGCAAGGTTATAGATTTCCATAAAGAATTTTGTGACAACTTTAAAATATGTTACAAAGTTCTATAGTAGTCATTTATTAAAAAAACTAATACGATTATTCGATACGTTAAAACAAATTTAATAATTTGCTATTCGTACCGTTACTAATCAAGCAAATATTATTTCTTAATTGCCCATATTAACTTAGGTATTTGGATATGCTAGAACACTTAAGGATCATATTGGAATAGCCCACCCCACCTCATCGCCTATGGATGAAAACCTGGAACGACCTGATTATTAGTCAATATGTCCTCTACTTTTAATTTAAAATATTGAATATATTAAATATATATATACAACTTGAGAGTAAATTTATTATTTTTATTTCAAATATAAATAAAATAATATTATTAATTTGCGAATATTTATTTCTTATATATAAGTTAGATGAGTCAACTCACAACTTTTTCTCTTATATTACATTCGGCGATGTCCATCCTTTCATGATTTCTTTTAGTAAAAACACGTGGTATCCATAAATCATTGAATTTCTCTTTTAAAATCATTATACATTCTTAAGGTAATTAATTATTCATTTTCTCCTAAGGCCCTTGTATAATGGAAAAATAATAATAAATCCGCATTTTCTGGATTTATACACGTTCTTTGTTCTAAAAATCTTCCATCAATGCTAAAATTTCGTTCAGAAGAAGCACTATTTGCTGGAATTGCCAATATCTTTCTAGCTAATCTTGATAACATTGTTAAAAAATTTCTTTTCGTTTCCACCAACGTAGGATATCCTTTTGAAGTATAAAAGTATAATATCTTCTTCAAGTGAGATCTTTAGATAAAAATGAAACCATTAATAAATAAATGAAAAAGTAATTTAAAAAATTAATTTAATTTCTATAAATTGTGAACTAAACAAAGGTAACCTATAATCTTACTAAATTATACAAATCAAACTTAATGATTGTTATGTTACTAGATACGATGTTCACTAGGGTTGTTAAAAAGCCTGATTTTTAAAAACGGCCCGATTAAGATTTTGGCCAAAATTATATATATAAGCCTCAAGATAGAGGTTTGAGCCTTTGCCATCCTGAACAAAATCTCTAGGCTTACATAATATTATTTTTGCTAAAATCTTAATCGGGCCATTTTAAAAAATAGACCCTAATTCGGTTTTTAACAACATTAGTGCTCACCTCTATAACCTCACCTTTTGTGTTTTAATTTTGGCATGGATGCTTTTATTTCAAACATTGCATTTTATAAGTAAAAATGAATTTTTTTAAATTTAATGCTATGCTAATTTTTTAAGTTCGAAAGGATATTCGATTTTTTTATCATCAAAGATTTTTTGCTCAAAATTTTGGGCGTTCAAATGCGCATTTAAAGATTTTTGTTATATTAAAAATACATTTAACAAAAAAATAGAAGTTATCTTTAATTTAAAAAATTATTCATTAAAAATAAAAGTAATTACAAAATCATTTTTAACTTTTTAAAAAAATAAAAGAAAATAAATCGTTTAAGTTAATAGATACTTAGATGAAAATAAAACAGATTTTAACGCTTGAAAAATAAAAGAAATAACAAAATATCTTAAGGATATATAAAATTTAAAGACAAACGTTTTAACATTCATTATCTACTCTGACGTGAAGGTCGCGAGTTCGAGACTAGTCCTAGTCATAATAAAAATGTCAGCACTTTTAGATATTGGATAATTTCATTTATTAAATTTTTTCAATTTATTATAAGCAAATATGTAAAATGAATCTAATTGCGGCGAATCATTTAATGATTAAAAACACTATATTAAAATAATAAGTTACATTTTTGATCTATTATAATATTTATTTCAAATTGTTACTATAAAAAATAAATAATTAAACTACGTTTTTAATGAATAAGAACATCGCATTTCTTTATATATGTATATTAAATAAAATTGAAGTTATTTTTAAGTTTCTAATTATAAAAGTAATCAAAAATAATTTTTAACGTGGTAATCGTGCTTCGTGATTATAAGCGCATCGCCCATTTTGCTAAAAAAAATATCCAAGCTACGCTTGTACTCTCAAAGAAATTGGGGGTAACCTAAGAAAGGATTTGTTAAATATAAAAATAAAAGAAGTTGAAAGAAAATATTTTTTTTTTATACAAATGTATATTTTTTTAACTCAAATACTTTTGCCTTAAAATTGTTTCTTACTTTAAAATAATTTAGTTTTTGTAAAAATATTTTTTTTAAGGTTATACAAATGTATATTTTTTTTACTCAAATTCATTTGCCTTAAAATTGTTTCTTACTTAAAATAATTTAGTTTTTGTAAAAATGTTTCTTTTACTTTAAAATAATATAATTTTAAATGCTAAATTTTTATTTTTAGTTAAAAAATTAAATAGATTTGTACCGAGATGTCAATTATATTTATTTTTTGTATTTGATTTTCATTAGATGTACCATATATAAATTGATAATAGTCGACGATTTTGTAATTGAAAGAGATTGAATGATTTGAAAATAAATTTTTAAAATATAAAGACAAAAAAATAAAATTGAACTTTGAAATTTAAATTAATATTTTACTTAAAGATCTATAAGAATTTTTACATGCCTTCCATAATTTAATAGGATCACATTCGCAAATTTTGGGCAGGACGCAATTACATGCGGGGGCATAGGGCAGAGCCCCTTGCCTAAACGCCTTCTGGAGAATAAGAAGGTAGAAGCAGGCCCGTTCCAGATAAAATAAAGTTTTGATTTATGGAGGGGGTAGTGGCTATTTTAATTAAGTTAACTTAGTAATATAATATATATTAAAAGTGTAAGTAAATAAGATAGCTCCGAGAAGTTGGCAGAACTACTTGAGGTGCAATTGACAAAAATTATGCCATTATTTAGAGTCTTAATTGCACTTCTATCCGGACATCGGCAGAATGAACCGTTGGTGAGTTATGAGCAAAATAAGGAAAGTGTGAAATTTTGATGCTGGCAGAACGACTTGAGGTGCAATTAACAAAAGTTACGCCATTATTTAGAGTCTTAATTGCACCTAGTTGCACTTCTATCCGGACATCAGCAGAAAGAACCGTTCGTGAGTTATGAGCAAAATAAGAAAGTGTTGGCATTTTGCCAAACCGAAAATAAAAGAGATCCTTTTTTGAAACTTAACAATAATGTAGTATATGATTTACTCTTTAATATTCTCAAACCCGGATATCCGTATGTATAGCCGTAACCGAGCTATACCTATTTAAAAAACGTGAAGTTGGCAGAACGACTTGAGGTGCAATTAAAAAAAATTATGCCATTATTTAGAGCCTTAATTGCACTTCTATCCGGACATCAGCAGAATAAACCGTTCGTGAGTTATGAGCAAAATAAGAAAGTGTTGGCACTTTGCCAAAACCGAAAATAAATTAGATTACCTTTTGAAACTTGGCAATTAATTAGTTTACAATTTGTGCTTTAATATAATAAAAACGGGATATCCGTATCATTAACCGCAAGCGAATAATATTTATTTATCTGAGGAAAATGAAGTAGGCGGAATTATTTATAAAAAGTGAGGTGCAATTAGAGATACTTATGCCAATGTGTAGCCCTTTAATAGAACATTAAGAATCTATAAACGGCTTAGCAGAATTTACGGCTAGTGAGTTATGAGCAAAATAAGAAAGTGTTGGCACTTTGCCAAAACCGAAAATAATTAAGAATAACTTTCGAAACTTGGCAATTATTTAGTATTCAATTTGTGCTTTAATATTCTAAAAACGGGATATTTATTTATTTGAGAAGCGGAAATGAGCGGAACTCTTAGTAAATGTGAGGTGCCATTAGCGATACTTATGCCAGTGTGTAGCCCTATAATTAAACATTAAGAATCTTTAAACGGCATATCAGCAGAATAAACGTCTAGTGAGTTATAAGCAAAATAAGAAAGTGTTGGCACTTTGCCAAAACCGAAAAAAATTAAGAATAACTTTCGAAACTTGGCAATTATTTAGTATTCAATTTGTGCTTTAATATTCTCAAAACGGGATATCCGTATCACTAATAGTAACCGAGTTATATTTATTTATTTGAGAAGCGGAAATGGCAGAACGACTTGAGGTGCAATTGACAAAAATTATGCCATTATTTAGAGTCTTAATTGCACTTCTGTCCGGACATCAGCAGAATGAACCGTTCGTGAGTTATGAGCAAAATAAGGAAAGTGTGAAATTTTGATGCTGGCAGAACGACTTGAGGTGCAATTAACAAAAGTTACGCCATTATTTAGAGTCTTAATTGCACCTAATTGCACTTCTATCCGGACATCAGCAGAAAGAACCGTTCGTGAGTTATGAGCAAAATAAGAAAGTGTTGGCATTTTGCCAAAACCGAAAATAAAAGAGATCCTTTTTTGAAACTTAACAATAATGTAGTATAAGATTTACTTTTTAATATTCTCAAACCCGGATATCCGTATGTATAACCGTAACCGAGCTATACCTATTTAAAAAACGTGAAGTTGGCAGAACGACTTGAGGTGCAATTAAAAAAAATTATGCCATTATTTAGAGCCTTAATTGCACCTAATTGCACTTCTATCCGGACATCAGCAGAATGAACCGTTCGTGAGTTATGAGCAAAATAAGAAAGTGTTGGCACTTTGCCAAAACCGAAAATAAATTAGATTACCTTTTGAAACTTGGCAATTAATTAGTTTACAATTTGTGCTTTAATATTCTAAAAACGGGATATCCGTATCATTAACCGCAAGCGAATAATATTTATTTATCTGAGGAAAATGAAGTTGGCGGAATTATTTATAAAAAGTGAGGTGCAATTAGAGATACTTATGCCAGTGTGTAGCCCTTTAATAGAACATTAAGAATCTATAAACGGCTTATCAGCAGAATTAACGGCTAGTGAGTTATGAGCAAAATAAGAAAGTGTTGGCACTTTGCCAAAACCGAAAATATTAAGAATAACTTTCGAAACTTGGCAATTATTTAGTATTCAATTTGTGCTTTAATATTCTCAAAACGGGATATCCGTATCACTAATAGTAACCGAGTTATATTTATTTAATTGAGAAGCGGAAATAAGCGGAATTCTTTGTAAATGTGAGGTGCAATTAGCGATTCTTATGCCAGTGTGTAGCCCTTTAATTGAACATTAAGAATCTTTAAACGGCATATCAGCAGAATTAACGGCTAGTGAGTTATGAGCAAAATAAGAAAGTGTTGGCACTTTGCCAAAACCGAAAATAAATTAGATTACCTTTTGAAACTTGGCAATTAATTAGTTTACAATTTGTGCTTTAATATTCTAAAAACGGGATATCCGTATCATTAACCGCAAGCGAATAATATTTATTTATCT